GTAAAATACATTTTCTTTGAAATACCTTGTGTCTTACTATATATGTGCTGGTGCATCAAGGCTCAAAATGAATGCTTTTGTCTGTAGTTATATACCACAGTGACTCGGGGTGGGGGGAATCCAGATTAACAGTCCGGTATAGTAGTAATAATGAACTATTATACTCAAGGCCAGCTTGATTCTTACCTGAATTACTGTTACTCATCACAATATGTTTTTATATGCAACAGGGTTTCTTTTTCCAAACATAGTATTTTTCTTTACAGAGTTTAGAATTTCAGCAAAATGAGCTCATCTATAATCTACTGGTTTTTAATGGAAATATAGTTATGTGATATTCAGTTTTCATATCCCTGAGGGTTGGCCAGCATATCAAAGTCTAGAGATAACAGACACAATAGGTCAAACTGCATGAACTTGGACTGCCCATCTGAAGAACAAACCTGAGTTTTAGGGTCACTACAGAAAGGTCAAGCCTTTAGGAAAGCTCAAATACATATCTAATCTTTCCAGGGTTTTTGAAAAGTAGTAGAGGTCAAATTCGAGAGGGATTTTAAAGGAGTAACTGCAAATCAGAGCAGCATCTGCTGACCAAACCCACAAATGTGCTTTGCTCATTGTAGTCTAAGTAATTTCTTATCATTTTATATCATTTGTTTAATAACGTAGATGAAAATCTGGGCTCAGAGGTGACATGGTAGGTTCTGTTTCAAGGACAAATTTTAAATGAAGAAAAAAACATAAAGTTGGCCCTCTGTATCCACAGGTTACATCTCTGTGGATTAAAAATTAAAACAACAATAAAAAATAATATAAATAAAAAAGCAATATATTATAACAATTATTTACATAGCATTTCCACTGTATTACATATTATAAGCAATCCAGAGATGATTTAAAGCATAAGGGAGGATGTGCATAAGTTGTATGTAAATACTATGTCATTTATATTAATATAAGGGATTTGGGCATCCACTAATTTTGGTATCTTTGGGGGGGGCCCTAGAACCAGTCCCCTGGGGATACTGCAGGACAATACTATTTCAAAGTGTGGGTGTATATGTATATGCATGATTTCTTTCTCCATATTCTCCTATTAGAAATCTACAAATTTATATTGATCTTTTAAAAAAATAGATACTTCATTTTAAAAAAAGACACTGCTGAAAATAGCCACTTAGATAATAAATATATGGATTACAAAACATGAGGTATAGGAAAGATGAGACTAAAGAGAAAGGAAAATGGTTTATTCTAAGATTCTCAGGGAGCCCATCCGTCTTCACCCCATCCCCACTGGCCCCATCTCGATATAACCTATACTAAAGTCATGTTGTTAAAAATAAATACCTAAAAGAAGCCTATAACTATAAGAGAAACATTCGATAATCATATTAAACTCCATAAAAGGAGACATATCAGTTGAATGCATTAAGTGTGAATTACATTTGAAAAGAAAGTTTTTAATTTAAGTAGACATTCTCATCTTGCTGGAAATGGCACCAACATACAACTCACAATAATGAAACGCCCCTCTATAAAACATTCTTTGCTTTTGGAAAATTAATTATGGTTTAACTAAAACACCAACTAAGTGCTTCTTTATAATATTTATGTGAGGAAAAAACCCTAGTTTGTCATATTTTACTCTAAAGGTCTCACAAACAACACTGCTCAATGGATGGTGATCACAGGAAGGACACAGAATGGCAAACTGAAATTAAATCCATCTAGAAAGGATAATCTACTAAAATAATTCACTTTCATTTCCAATCTAATCATTTTAATGACTCCTTTAAACAAGGGAACTGGTTATATTTAGCTATAAAAAGAGATTTCTAATATAATTAGTATAGAAAAGCATATTAAAGATGTAAAAACTTAGAATAATATACAGTATAACATAAAACAAAATCTTTTTACTTCAGCTCACATGCACAGCCTTTCAAAAATGTCTTTTCCATAATAATTTTTCTTAAAAAGTTGAATGATTTTGAAACATTTTGGCATTATAATTAAAGAGCATCAAAGTATACAACAAGGAACCCTGAAACACTGCGGTATGATTAGAGTTTTGAAGGAGTTTTTATAAAATGTGTAGAAGTTATGGACACACACAGACTAGGCTGGACAAAGTCTGGGGTTCATAGAACTATTAACAAAAACTTTCTTTTCTACAAAATAATAAATCGGTAAGAACGTTCAAGTTTTAGAAGAAGATAATTAAAACGCACTCAATGAAATTTCAAAGAAACAAGCTTTGTTTGTTTGAACTTCTGATAGAGATCCAAAAGGCTTGATTCTAAAACATGATAAAAATTTTAGGTGAATCCATGCAAAAACAAAAGAACTGCTGAGAACGTACAAGTGTTTAGTCACATTCTGCTCTGTGAAGTCAGCTTTATTATTAACTTTAATTGTATAATAATTTTACTTATTTTGTAGATTTAAACAAAAGGATGTGAGCTTGACACCTACATTCTTGTGAACAAATTAGCATTTTGTAATTTACAAATTCAAATTGAAGACTAGGTAGTTAAAAAAAATTAAAACAATTTCGTTCTCAATACACTCACATGTTTTTGCTTTGTAATACATATAGCTGTCACATATAATTGCTCTGCTAGGCTTAAATCAAATTGCAACGGGCAAGGAAGGCCAAAGAAGGGTTTACACAATATTAATAAGCAATAATATCTGTTCAGTGTGCAATAAAATAAAAAAGTACTAACCTAGAAACACAGAAAAAGAATTTATTGTTTTTAAGTTCCAGAAATAAAAGTAACAGAACAGCACATAATCTGTAACAAGCTGGTCCTATAATTTCTAAACTAGAGTCCAGTTAAAACATTTAAGAAACAGAAACAATCCACATGTTTTTCTACCAGGTAAATATACCTGAGAAAGTTACCTATAAAGAAATAGGCTTTGAAACTCTAAACCACAAAGAACCTTCCACTGCGACATTATGAAGATGGGGCTAGTATGTGACCGGACACTAAGCCATTCCCACAGAGACTGTGTTCACTGCTCAGCTGCAGTTTGTGGTCCATCAGTGACATGATATTTCACATCAATACCAGCTCATTCAACCAAACAAGCACAGTAATGTTTTAAAACTATCTGTTTATATTCATTAGTATGTAAAAATCACAATACACACATTTGGAAATGTTTAACTTGTCCTTAAATAAGATTATATTTTCTCAGCATAAGCTTTTAAAAAAGGTCTAAGCAATCAGCCCAATAATGGGGGAAGCAGACTATATATGGTGGCTAAAGTGAAGATATATTAAAATTATAATTATTGTCATTGCCAAGAACTAACAAATAAGAGCAAATTTAAAAAATTAAGAAGTTCTTCTGGCAGCAGAATTACATCTAATATAATAACATCTCCAAGCAAAAATTAATTCAGAGCCTGAATGCAATTTGTGCTTTGTTTTTATAAAAATGCAGTGTTACTCTCATACATTTCTAAACAAGTAGATTTGTAAATAGCAGTGATTTTCTTTTCATCACAATTTATTTCTAATTCATCTTATGCAGATTATGGATAGAACTAAAAATTACTTAAATTTTTCCAATACTTTAACTGTATGAATCAAGGTCTTTTTTTAAAACAGTGATTTATTGTGATTCTTAAAGTGAACAACAAAAACAAATCTAAAATTGTAACTTTCAATTAAGTGGTTAAAATTTCAGATGACAGAGCCAATAATTGGTAACAGCTTCTTTAATTTCATATCAATAGTCCAATGAAAAACACTAATGGCTACCTGGCAATAGTTTGAAAGAATCAGAAGGGTTCTGTGAAAGGGGTGGGGGGACAAACATGCAAAATACCCCCCAAAACACATGGTCTTCTTTCTCATTTTATAATCTAAACTTGTAAAAATTTTTATAAATACATGATCATTCTACACAATACAGATTTTTCTAGAGCATTTCTAGAGGAAACAACAGTTTTTGGTCTTAAGAAGTAAGACTAAGATGGAAAAGGGATGAAACAGTGAAATCTGAGGGAGCAATACGCTCTTTCTACATACAAGCAAGCTGCAGTTCATCCAGTCAAGTTAGCGGTTACAGTTCAGTACAAGATTTTTCAAGGCAACTAAGAAATCAGGACATAGATACTTCCCCTTCCTATAGTTCACAATTCTTTAAAAAGCTCTGATCTATCCATAAAGGAGTGTGGGGTTTTGTGGGATTTTTCCAAAAGGAAACAAAGAATAAATAGGTGGAAAAAAAAAAAAAGTAAGTCTCCATCCCTAAATTCACATACACAACAAGTTAAACTATAAGCTAATTTTGGACTACCCAGTGAAATAGAATTGTTGATACCATGTGAGGCAGGTGCTATTCTAACTAGTCGGTTCAAAACATGATCCAGTAAAACAAATACACATTGTTATGCCTCAAACAACTAGAAAGCATTTCATTATTCTTCAAATATCATGTTTAATTAACTCCTAAGGTAACATATTTCTAGGATATTGTATCTTAATGGTGTACCTGAATCATTACTAGCAATAGAATGCCAAATTCAAAACTGCTATGAAAGTAAAATCATCATTAGAAAAATTCAACCCTAATGTAAAAAGAGGGGGAACTGAGTGCAAAATACTAACACCAGATGTCTGAAGGCAGATTTTTACTTGTGGAAGACAGAGTGAGGAGATAGATGCACCCAATCAAGACCAAATGGAAGACAGTGCAGAGTATGAAAAATGTTTTTAAAAAAAAGAAGAAAAAGAAGGAGGAAAATGGAGGAGAATCAGGCAGCAAAAGAATTACTGGATAGACCAAAAATAAGAGGAAATGAGGCATGTGCATATGGCTCTCTCTTTTCTGTCCTTTGTGTTCCTAAATAATGTATAATGTAAGTGGCACATAGGCCACACTAGCAGGCAAAATGAGCCTTGTGATGGATAGAGATGAAGGATCTGGGGCTAATGAATTGTCTTGTTTTTCTTTTTGTTTTTGCTTTTAATTCATACCTGAAAGCCTTGAATCCTTGCTAAATATTCCAGTTGTTTTGAAGGTTGTACTGGAGAACAAGGGGGAGTAGGAGAACTTCCTTTTAAACCTATGGCTTCAGCTGTAGGAGATGTTCCATTCATAAGGAGTTCCCTGGCAATTGTAGCTGAACTATTCGATGTAGGAGATATACTGAAGAAAGAGCTTGAAGGTTGGTTCATATCTTTGGGTGACAAATAGCCTAGAGTAGTGCCAGAGATTACTTTGTGGCGGCTGGCTTCCATCTCTTGATAAACATCAGGAGACAAATGAAGAATTCCTTTTGGAGCTATAAATAAAATGAAGGAACACTGTTATTACATTTAAAATAACTGAATAGAAATACGTTATAGCATTATTAACTCAATGGCCTCACTTGGTGTAGTAACACTGCTAATCAAGCATCTTCCTTATATCTGCAGAGGCAATTAATTACACCTTCTATCTAGAGGTGAATAACATGTTTCAATATTCCCAAAATCAGAAGTTAAAAAAAAATCCACAAAAGTGATTTTATTGGAACTTGTGTGTAGTAGGGAAGCTGTGGGAGGGCAGGGAAACTGATATGTGGAAGTACAATGGGGAAGAAGATTGAAACTGCACAGTGTCTTCACCCTGCAATATAATATTTTATATCTCATAAAAGAGGCATGAAACCCTCAACATATGCAGCAATTGAGGCACAGAAGGTAAAATGATCAGTCGAAATTTCTTCAGAGGTACAAATCCATGTAACCAATGATGTAATGGTCTTCTCCTATTCACAAGGATGCTCCACAGACAACTCTAACCCAAGAACACGAAAAAAGTACAGGGCATCTTCTTTCCAACACTAGCAATGTCCCATCTTGCTTAGCTTATTATATAAATAATATCACCAACTATTTGCTCACTACCCAACCTACACTCCTGGCAACCATCTTTGATTAACCCATAACCAAGTAGATACCATGTTGGTCAAACGTCTCTAGAATTTGCCTATTCTATCATGGGGTGGGGAACCTGCGGCCTTGGGGCCGCATTTGGCCTTCTGGATCCTTGAGTGAAGCCTTTTGACCCTGAATCCAAATTATACAGAAGAAATCCTTTTAATAAAGGGATTTGTTCTGTGAAGTTTGGATTTGGTCGAGGGGCCACACTTGGGGATCTGGAAGTCCACATGTGGCCTCGAGGCCGCAGGTTTCCCACCCCTAAATGGCCAGGTTCTGAAATCAAGAGGAGTGAGCCAGGGGCTATGTCATCAGTTGGTGGAGTCCCTTTAACTATCATTTGTCTCAGAGAAGTTTCAAACCATATTTCAAACTGCTTGTTCTAATGTCTTTTGATCATTAAATATTAATAACCCTCAAATCATACTATCTTTTAAAATTATTGATAAGTCACCACTTGTACAGAATGTGCTCTGAGAGACACAACTTAATTCCTTTGCTCTTGCCCCTTCCTCTCCTGCTATTAACTTTCTAAGTCAGCCTTCAGTTTTCTCAACTGGACTCCTGTGATCATCACTGAAAGGTTTCACTGCTGCTCGGCTTCCCAGCGTCCATTCCCCAAAAAGTGTTCTATAACATGGTTTCTAAATAAAAGGGTTCCATGAGAAATAAATTTGGAAAATAATGCAAATTAGATCATATACACCTCTTTGGGGGAATTAAAAAATGCATATTAGCATAGTAAAGTCTCTGAGAAGCCCAGACAGCAGAAATCTACTCAACTTAGTTTAACCCAGGATTTCCCAACTTTATTTTAGATCCAAACCTTTTACAGAACATTAATAACAGCTGACATTTTGGGAAATGCTGGAGGCCAGCCCACTCTCCTCTGAATGAGTACTTTCTAATGACCTGTCTTGGAGTTTGCTGTTACTTTCTTCTTCTTGATCTTGTATACTACTGAACCCTTCTAGTAAATTTTTCAGTTCAGTTATTATATTCTTCAGCTCCATGATTTATGTTTGGTATTTTTTAAAGTTTTCTCTCTCTTTGTTGAAATTCTCATTTTGTTCATGCATTATTCTCCTGACCTCAGTGAGAATTTTCATAAGGATTATTTTCAATTCCCTGTCAAGTAAATCACATATCTCCATTTCATTAGTGTCAGTTTCTGGAAATATATCTCATTCCTTTGCTTAGAAAATATTCCTGTTTCTTCACTGTCCTTGATTCTCTGTGTTGTTGTCTACACAGAAGACAAAAGAACCACCTCTCTTGGTCTTCACGGATTGGCCTCGCACTGGAGAAGACTCTCACCAATCAGCCTGGCCAGAGATTCTGGGGGCCTCTCAAACTTTTATGCTACTCTAACCCACTTTCTTTGTTCTTGGTAGTCCTCAGGCATCTAGAGTATCCCAGTCCCATCAGTACTCTAAGACAAGCAAGACTGAAGCCAATTCTTCAGGTGGCCCCCGAGGTAAGTTTGGTTGTTGGACACAGGATGAACCTCTTCACCTCCCTGGGAAGAAGCTGAGAACTGAAACTTTTCATCTATTAGCTCTGTGCTGGGCTGAGAAGGTGGCTATGATGAGGCCATCTCTGAGTTGCTAGAGTATGCCATGTCCCATCAGCACTCTGAGACAGGCTAGATAGAAGCCAGGACTCTGGGTAGCTGCCAGAAAAGCTGCGGCATTGGATTTATGGTACATGCACCTCTTTCTCTTCCCAAGGAGAAAGAAGCTGGGAGCTGGGGGTAGGGAGATTGTCTCAATTTGTATGGCACTGTGCTGGGGATAGGAATTATGGTATAAGTATAACTCAAATTTCCCTAACAGTTAAGATATGGCTGGTTTTGTGCTCTCCTGGGGTGTAGGAGCTTCTTAATTAGTTTCTGGATTTCTCACAAAGGTAATCTGTCTATGAATTATCATTGAATTGATGTGTTCATGAAGGGAAAGGGGGCCAGGGCTTCCTATTCCATCATCTTGCCAAGGCAAGACCATTCTTTTACTTAAAAGTCCTTCAACAGCTTATTACTTACACTATAGAATCCAAACTCCTTAGGATGACATAGGAAGCCCTTAAAAACATGGATTCTACTTATGTCTCTATCTTCTCTACCAAATTCTTCAGGAAGACCCCAATGCTCTATATTCACATTTCTTCCAATACCCCAGGACTGTCTGATCCCACATCTTTATTTCTATTGCCCAGTTACACGCACACACACACACACACACACACATACACACACACACATATTCATATTCTCTCTCTCTTAGTTAAGCCCTATTGCTATGTTCCAGGCATTGTGCCAACCAATACTTTCCTAACCTCAAGTCATGCTCAGTCTATTAAGGTAGCAAAATGAAAATGGATAATACAATGTGGTAGGGACCTCACTAGAGAGCAGTGGGAATGGGAAAGGAGAAACACTAGAAGCTCAGGGAATGCTTGCTGGAGATGACACTGACAGTCAATTTCAGAGGATGAGGAGAATTTAGCCAAGAAAGAAGAGGACTGAAGACAGACACATGGCAGGAGCAAGGGCAAGAGAGTTTGTGTTCCAGGAAACCTCAGGCCATGCCTTACCACCAGAGCTTGAAGAGGGAGTGGGAATTGCAAAAGTTCAGGTGGAGGCAGGCAGGGACCAAGTTTCAGGGGACTTTATCTTGATGCCATTAAAGCATACAAGTTCTGTAAGTTTTTTAAAAAAACAGTTTAAATAGCTTTTTGGTCCTCAACATCCACAGTTTCTGCATTCGCAGATTCGACCAACAGCAGATATAAAACATTTGATAAAATGAAAAATAAAAAATAACAATGGAATAAGAAATAATGCAAATTTAAAAATCAATACAGTATAACAACTATTTACACAGCATTTACACTGTAGTAGGCATTGTAAGTAATAGAGAGATGATTCAAAATACAGGAGGATGCACATAGGTTATATAAAATACTATGCCATTTTCTATTAGAGACTTGAACATCCATAAATTTTGGTATCTGCGGAGGGTCCCAGAACTGATTTCCCAAGGATACCAAGAGACCACGGTATATCAATCAATTATGTATTTTCTTTATGTCTTTGTGCTAGTTTTCAAATTCCCAGCATTAATAAGTGTTAGTTTTTATAATCAGGAAGGCATTTCCATAATTTTTAAAAGAAAACATATGCATTAGGAAAAATACAGATAGCTCTCACCAGCCAGAGGAACTACTTTCAATCTTTTGCTGTAAAGATATGCTTTTAGTCCTCTTTCATCTCTGCACTTTCTAGTTGTTGTTAGCTTGAAAAAACAAGTTAAAACACAGGAATACCACATGATCCTGTTTTTGTTTACTAAACAATATACTTCTGCTACTCATTTTAAAAGCATAATATTTCATTATATGAACTGTTTCTTTAAACAATTCCATTTTGTTGGACATCTAATTTGTTTCCATGGTTTTGCAATAACACAGTGAGTGATGAACATTCTTGTAATTAAATCCTTGTTCACATGAAAATTTATTTTCTCAAGTTAGAAGCAGAATTGCTAGTTCAAAGGATTTGTATATTAGGTTTTTTGACACTAACAAATTGCCCTCCAAAGAAGTTGTACCAATTTCACACTCCCACAGAAATATATGAAAGTATCTTGTTTCCTATTTTGGTGTTATACATTATTATTAAAAAGTCTTTACCAGTTATCAACAGTGACAGAAAGCAGGTCAGTGGTTGCCTGGGGTGGGGCTAGTAAGAGTGATAGATTGCAAAAGGGCACAAGAAAACTTTTGGAGAGATGGAAACATTCATTTCACAGGTATATAAACATGTCAAAACTGATTAAACTGTAGATATTGTGTGCAGTTTATTATACATCAATTATGCCTCAATAAAACTGCAAAAATTATTTGCCAATTTGATAAATGAAATGTCATATTACTAATTTTTGTTTTTCACTATCTGCATAAATACCATATATAGTTTTTATTTAAAGAATTTAAATGTTATAACTCTAAATTCTATGCTTAATTTAAGAAACACGAAACTTAACAGCATTACTTCTGTATTGTTATTATACAGCAGTAATGCGCTTGCCAATAGCAATATTATAAAGCAACAAAAATGCTCTCTCCACACTCAAGAAAGGCATTACATCACAACATAAGAACTCATACAGAGTTCAGGCTCTCTTATTCTATAGTAAGGCCTGAGTCAACTTTTCTTCGTGAATAAAGAGGATTCCTTTCTACAGAGCTCAACTAATAGACTAGTCATAGAAAGAGTATAAAGACGTGGATTTATGCGGTCAACTAGTGAATGGTTTTCAACTTGCACATCTGTAACAGTGTCCAGATCGGCCATCATTCA